GCTGCTGTAGCTGCTGCTGCTGCTGTTGGTGGTGGTGAGGGTGCTGATGGTTCTGGTGTACGTGCTGCTGCTGTTGTTGCTGTTCCTGCTGTTGCTGCTGCTGTTGCTGCAGCATCTGTTACTTCTGCTGCTTTTGTTGCTCGTGCTGCTGCTGCAGCATTTGCTGCTGCTGCTGCAGCTTGTGCTGCAGCAGCAGCACGTAGCAGGTGTGCAGCAGCAAATGGTGTATTATTAGTATTATCTAATAGAAGAAGAGCAGCAGCAATTTCTTTATTAAGCAGAAAATCTTTATTTATATATAATTGGGGTGTATGTACACCGTAAATACCAATAGGAATAGAAGAAGCAGCAGCAGCAGCAGGTGGATAAGGAACGCTGCTGCTGCTGCTGCTGCTGCTGCTGCTTACTCGTGCTGCAGGTAATATTGCTGCCAGGTGTCTGCAGCAAGACCCCACACTCTTAGATACTGCAGCTGCAGATAACATTTATACTAATTCCCTGCAGCAGCTGCTGTTGCTGCTGCTGCTGTTGCTGCTGCTGCTGCTGCTGCTGCTGCCTTATATAAATAAAGAATTGTTAAAGACAAATGACAACAGCAGAGGATACACACATATCCACCATCGAGGATCCTGCTGCTGCTGCTGCTGCAGTTTCCCTGCTGCTGCTGCTGCTGTTGCTGCTGCTGTTGGAGGTGGTGTCTCTGTTGTTGTTGTCGCTCTTGCTGCTGTTGTTACTTTTGTTGCTGCTGTTGGTGCAGTGCGTCTGCTGCAGTTGCTGCTGCTGCCGCCGCTGCTGCTGCTGCTGCTGCTGCTGTGTAATCAGCTAGATTTGCTGCTGCGGTCATTTATATATTGCTGCTGCTGCTGCTGTTATAAAAAATTATAAATTAAATAAAAATAAATAAAAATAAATAAATATAATTAAATAAAAAATAAATTAAATAAATTAAATTAAATAAAGAGAAGGAAAAAGGAAGAAAAAAAGAAAAAGAAGACGGGGCTGCTGTGGCTGTCGATGGTGTCTTTTATAAGACATTTATTTATTTATTTATCTATTTATTTATTTATTTATTTATAATTAATTAATTAATTAATTAATTAAATTATATTAATTAAATTAATTAAATTAAATCAATTTATTTGTTTGTTTTGCGTTAATCAAGAGAGAGGAAGAGGAAAAAGGAGAAAGAATCAGCAGCAGCAGCAGCAGCAGCAGCAGCAGCTGTCTGCTGCTGCTGCTCTCTGTGGCAACAAGACTGCTCGTTGCTGCTGCTGTTGCTGCTGCAGCAGAGGATGGAACAGAAGCAGCAAATGCAGCAAAAAGGGTATAAAAATAAGAAAAAAGTATAAAATGTAAATATAAATAAAAGAAAAAAGTATTTATATATGTTGTATATATGCAAACAAACAAACATACAGACAGACGACTGTTGCTGCTGCTGTAGTTGCTGTTGTTGCTGCTGTATTAGCTGCTGCTCTTACTGCTGCTGGTGTCCTTATACATCGTGCATAAATTACTAATATATGCAATAAATATATAGGATAAAAAAAGTATAAATAAATAAATAAATAAATAAAAATGAATAAATAAATAAAAAGAAAATAAAATAAATAAGAAAAATTAAAAAAAAATAACAAAAAAAAAAAAAAAAATATTCCTATTCGCCGTTCAATTTATTTAAGGGTAGGTATGTAACTACAGTATATATATTCACGATGCAGCGGCAAAGACAGCACGCACCAATCTTTCGCCTTTTACTAAAGATTGCCGTGTCTTTGCCGCATTCCAATGCATCTTATATATATTTTTGGAAGGCGTCTCGGCGCCAACAATTTATCCCCTCTGTGTGTGTGTGTCCCTCTCTCCTCCTGTGCCCCCCCCGCCCCCTTAGCCCCAGCAGAGCCCACCCACAGGCCTCTGGCGTAGTCTGTACGGTCGTACGTACGTACGTACGTACGTACGATTTTCGTAAATGTATACGGAAATATATGTATATATGTATATATGTATATTTGTAAGTATACATTTATTTGTATATTTTCTCGTATTTACTTGCTTGTACTATTAACGTAATAGGTATTTTATTTATTTTTATACATATAGCTGCATATACACCCCACACTTATATATGTATATATGTTCGTATATATATACGTATTTATATATATATGTTGTTTGTACAAAGAAATATATATTCATTGTTTGTCTGTATTTTCTTTTTCTACTGATTTATTTGCATGCGCAGTGTTGCTGCATGCATTTTATTCTTTTGCTGCTGCTGCTGCTGCTGCTCCTTTTTGAGGGTTCGTAGATTATAATAGTGCATGCATTTAGGGTTTACGAGGAGGATAATATTTTATTTATTTTATTAAATAAATAATAAAATAATAACAATAAAAGGAATAAAAAAATAATTAAATAAAAAATGTCTCCTTTTGTTGCTATTTTTGTCTCCTTTTGTTAATTTCTTGTACAAAGAAGAAGAAACCCTTTTTTAGGG